ACAGTACACAACAGACTTTTAAATCTGTGCCATCCAAAAATTATTTTTAAAAATGTTTACACTGAATCTTTTCTATCCCCCGCCCCATGACATCATTTTTTTAAATTTTAGAATTTAGGAAATATTTCACAAGTGGATATATGTTATTGAAAATTTACTGCATTATAACTGGAACCTGGGTAGACAGGAAATCCATTGTGTGCTAGTTCCCCTTGCCAACATTTGACTTTATGAAAGGATGTGTGATTGTATATAGACATGAAACCCACAGAGCAGACAGGTTACAATTAAAAGCATATACATTACAGTTCACCCAGTCTCTTGTGAAAAACCAGTAACAACCTACTGTGAATCACACACGTCATCACGATCAGTCCTAGGTGGGCAGGAAAGCCTGAGGAGGGAAGTATGTTCTGAGAAGGGAACACAGGAGATTCAGGAGTTATGTTGCCTGCACAGAGAAGCAGTGGGACTAAGGAGGTAGTCTCTAAAGTCATAGTTTTCAACTAGGCTGTATGAGGGGGCTTCACAAAGTGCGTGGAAAGTATTTCCAGCAAGATGGTAAATTAGATAGATGCACTACACGAACCCTCTACAACACAGATCCATGAGACCATATGAAAGACACAGCTGAAAATCTTGGAACCCTGGATGGAGAGGAAAGGTTAGAGAAGCAGACTGAGAGTTTTCGAGGAGGTGACGCTGAACAGGGACAGAAAGTGATTGAGAAACGACTGGTGAATGGACAGCCAGACACAGCACAGTCATCTTGAACTTTCTGAGCATCTTTGGAGACAGAATGCAGACTGGCAGAGCAGATTCACACAGAGAACAGGAAAGGTGTCATTTCCTCTTTTTCACCACGATCCCCTGGTGACCAGAGGTGTGGTCAATTCCCACCCTAATCCACCCACAGTGCAGACCCTGCCCTCAGCAAGGTCACAGCCTCAGGGTGGTGAGCCACATCAGTATAAGGAAAGGGTCAGTTGTACCAATTTGGTGCCTGGATACATGCAAGCTTGGCTCCAGACCTACAGAGCCCACAGAGCCACCAGACCAGCATTAATTAGTCTAGCAGTTATTTGTCTAACCCTCATAATCAGCCACCCTGCCCCCAGCTGCCCTGTGATCCTCACAGACACTGAAACCAGCTCCAACAAGGGCCTCCATGAACTGTTTCCTGATTGAGTGCCCTGAGCAAAGACAACACCTAAGCCTACAGGAACTCTATCTAGAGCCAGGAACTGGGTCCTTACATCCCTCCCTCACCCACCTCATGAGCTCCTTGGCTAGCAGAAGCCCCCAGAAGTTTCTCCTATCTGCAGCCAACAGCTGCACTGGATTTTTCTTTTTGTAATTTGGTTTCTTTTTTTTTTTCCTTTCATTGTTTCATTGTTTTCATTTATGCATTCCTTCTTCTCCTTCATCTCTTTCCATTCCCTTGAACTTTTATACTTTCTTTCTGCACTTTTGTTTTTCCTTCTTCTGTTTCTGATGTCCCCTCTTCTTTTTTTGCCTTTTCATCTTTATTACTCTCTACTTTCTTTCTCTTTTCACCTTCCCTCTCACTGGTTTTTCTAAGGGTTTTGTTTTTCTTTTATTTTCTCTCTTATTTTTCTCTTTTATAGCTCCATTTTCTTGTCCCTCTTATTATCTCTTTTTAATTATTATATATATATATATATATAGGAGTCATGGTGTGACACTGTGATTTAATGCACCAGACTGCAATGCCATTTGAACTGCAAGGTTGGTGGTTCAAACCCACCAGCTGCTCCTCAGAAACCCTACACAGAGTCACTATGGGTCGGAAGCAACTCAATGGCACTTAACAACAACATTTTTTTTGGGGGGGGGTGGTTCTGCCTGTGTTTATTTCTTTTTTTTTTTCCTTTATTATTTTCTCTTTTCATTGTTGGTTGCTTGTTTATTTTGTTTTGTTTTCTTGTGTGTGCTATGTGTGTGTGGCGGGGAGGGGGAGCCTCCTCTTTTCCACCCAATGGTGCCATACAGTCCAGTAACACAATTAGTCCAATGGACATGTGAGCATCAGTCCATGACCCTGAGACCAGAAGAACTAGATGGTGTCTGGATGCCACTACCAACTGCTCTGAAAGGGATGGTATTAGAAGGTCCCTCGATAGACTGTGGACCAGTACTCACAATCATAAAAGACCAGGCTTACTGGTCAGGTAGAGACTGGTGGAACCCTAAGACTCTGGGCCTTGGTCACCCTTCAGATCTGGAACTGAACTCACCCCTATGGCTCAATGTTCAGTCAAGCAGTAGACAGACAGACAGACAGATAGAGGGCCAACAACAATGGTGAGGAGGTAGGCACACCATACAATGGTCAGTCATTTGAAATCAGAAGGGTAGCATTTACCCAGAGACAAAGGGAAGGGTTGGGAAAGAACAAGGAATGGGGGAAGACATGGGAAAGAGGATGCCACAGTGCGGGGAGAGCAATCACTAAGAGGAAATGATATGTCTCATTTCTTGGATGTAAAACTGATGATCTGCTCTGTAAACCTTCATTCAATTCACACTAAAATGTTGAAAAAAAAAGTAGATTCCCTTTAATAACTTTGATACAAATTATTCCCTGCCATTGGCTCTCATTTTCACAGTGTGTCAGCACTCTCATGATTTCCATCTGTTTGCTTCATTTCCACGGGTCCAGCTCCCCTTCCCCCACTCCTTGCCATTTCATCAGTAGTTTTCAGTAACTGCTGGCCATTTGGCACCCTGTAGTTAATTATTTAAGGGAACAGATTACTCACAGGTTTTTTTGCATGTTATAAGCCAATCAATTATTCAGTGGAAATAGCTTCAATTCTAAATTGGTGGGGTTCCTCTAACCTCTACTTGTCAAACAGGTCTGGACTTTTTTAGGAATCGGAGTCTTGTTCTAGATTTTCCCTCTCATTCTATCCGGGACCTTCTATTGTGTCCTTGGTCAGAAGAGTTGGTAATTCCATGAACTTCTTAAAGCCCCTTCATATATGTTCCTTGAGGGGGATATAACAACTTCCCAGTTGCCTAAATTGATGCTTGAGCGAGTGCTGAGATCAAGGAGTCCCTTTTCATAAGAGCCAAAGAAGGGACACCCTCACTTCTGTAGTATTTCTGACAGGAAGTAATCATGAAGAAACAAATGATAAACAACCCAAAATGAAGAACATCTAATAAAAACAAAGGGATGACATTATTCAGAAACTTCAATATCATAAAAGAGAAACACCACAGAAATATTCCAGACAACTAAATACAAGACTTACTCCTGGTCTGCATGCTGTACTGAAGGGGAGAGATTCTAGAAATGACACTAATGAGTCAATTAACAAAACTGAAATACAGTCAATACAACTACTAAATTGACTAAAAGTAGATTAAAATATTATATTGTAGTATAGGGCTGTGGGTTAATGCACTGGACTACAAACTCAGTTTGAGCCGCAAGGTTCAAGCTTACTAGCCACTCCTCAGAAACTCTATACAGGGCTTCTATGGATTAGAATTGACTTGATGTTACTTAACAACAACAACAAGGTAATATTCTATTCATAGAAAACAGACATTGGAAGTATTTAGGAGTAAAGGGTCACAATGCCTATAATGAAACTGAATCTTGAATAATTCACGGGGGGAAATTATATACATAGAATTTTGAATGGGGGAAGTAGGGGAATACACATACACACGTAATCAAGATAGAGCACATTATAATATAATAGGTAAAATATTAAAAACAGGTGAACTCAGAGGGTAAATAGTAGTGATAAGTATACAACCTTGGAACAACAATATTTTGGGGGTAGATACATGGACAGAGACAACGTGCTGAATGAGGATGGGAGGAACAGTGGAATACATGTGTATACATATATATTTATGTTTACTATCCCACAGATATACAAGAATTTGAAAGAGGATATTGATACATGAATATTTACCTGTCCTGCAAACACAACTGTGGATATGGTGTAGCCTACAGCGGGCAAAATGCTGAAAACTTCCTGAACATTCTCAAGCATCTTAATGTAATGAGTAGCTGAGCCTGGGAACTCAGGACCATAGTCTCAGGGAACACTGAGTCAACTGGCATAACACAGTCTGTTTTTACATCCTGCTGTGGTGAATAGCATCTGGGATATTAAAAGCTCATGAGCAGCCATCTAAGGAGCAGCTATTGGTCTTTCCATGTGTGGAAGAAAGAAAAGCAATGAGAATTGAAGATGCTTGAAATCAGTTAATCTAGCAGTCTAATGGAACATGGGAACACATCAGTTTCCATGACTCTGAGACCAAAAGAACTAGATAGTGGCCAGCTACCACTACCAATTGCTCTGAAAAGGATCACATTAGAAGGCCCTGGATAGAGTGATAGACTATGTGGAACAAAATTCAAAATTATTAATTAAAAAAAAAAAAAAAAGACAGTGGCTATGCTGGTCCAAAAAGAGACTGGAGGAACCGAGAACCATGGCCCTCTACCACCCTTTAGGTCTGGAAAGGAATTTACCCCTCGTGGTCTAACTTTCAGCCAAATAGTAGTTAGGTATATCAGAGGAACAACACTAGGAAGGTATGCTCACTATAAATGACTGGACAGCCAATCATTCAAACTCACAGAGGCAACAAAGGTGAGACGGCTCCGGAAGGAGGGTGGACTGAAAATAGGAGCCACTGGATTAAGCATAAGAACTGTTGTTGCATGGGCGGGGGGAGAAGGATTGCAATCATTGAGATGAAACAAAGTGTACAACTTGTTAAGTGTGAAACTGATGACCTTGTCCTGTAAACATTCACTCAATTCATAATAAAAAGATAAAAAAAAAAAAAAAAAGACAGGTGAACCTCAGTGGCACATAACACAAATACCGAAACTTTTCTATAAATTTGAAATTTAAAAGTTTATATTTTTATTCCTCAAACTTTATTCTAATACTATTACACATCTCATATATAACCAGATCATGTTGAAAAGCAATACTTACCATAAGTGCCAGGAGATTTTTCTTCATAAGTAAAATGAACTTGCAATTCCTCCTCTGTCATCTCACAGATGAACACTTTCAGAACACAGCAAATAATAAACAAAGCATTGTGTGTCTGCCAAATGAAGATATGGCTAGAAAGGAAACACCAAAATCACACGAATCAGTTTGAATCATGAGCATGGCCAGTTCATTTTGAGCACACTTTCTTCAGGACCCACCAACCACTCTGTCTACCCAATGTGTAATATTGTAACGGTGGCCACTAGTTTCCTAATTGTTCATGACATTACATTGGATCCATGGTGACTATTATAGCTTACTGTATATCTCACACTGTGTACTTTACATAGTGAGCCAATGGAATAAAAAAAACTTTATTGATGTTTGTGAGTGTGATTGCCCTTAGTTCTTGACTTTAGAGTTTTGTTTGTTTGTTTTTTGAGCTATGGTACCATAAAGAAGGAGTGCTGGTATGTAGTGCTGTGGGGTAAGGCATCAGACTGCAAAGCTGGTTTTTAAACTGGTTTTTGAACTGGTTCACAATGGTGAGGTTATTGCCATTGTAAACAAGGGCTGAATATGCAATGCATAACAATCAACTCTGTTGCCTGTGGTAATTTGATCCAAACAGGAAAAAAACAGCTCTCAAAGATGGTACCAGCCATGCTGCTTTGAATGTGTGCTGCTCTCCAGAGATTTGATGTACACTTGATAGAGAACTACTTTCATTGATCCCAATACCGTAATATAAAGGGATCGGTATAGCAGAGGTGTTTTAGAACCAAGAATTTGAGTCAGTAGACAGGATGTGTCCTTGATCAAATGGTATTTTTCCATAGGACTGCACTGAGGGTTAAATGAGATTAATGCATGGAAGGAGTCCTGGTGTGGCACCAGACTGCAAAGCTGTTTGAACTGCAAAGTCGGAGGTTCAAGCTCACCAGCTGCTCCTTGGAAACCCTATACAGGGTTGCTGTGGGTCGGAATCAACTCAATGGCACTTAACAACAACAATAACCATAAAGAAAATAAGTGCAAATACAATTGGCCCTCCTTATCCATGGGTTCTAGATCTGTGGAGTCAATCAATCATGGATGAGAAATACCAGGGGTGAAGGAGGAGAAAAAGCAATTAGATGGTCAAATTCAAGTCCTATTCTCATTGCATTATGTATTATAAGTAATCATGAGATGATTTAAAGTACAAAAGTCATAGGCAAGTAGTAACATTGCATTGTAATACACAAATCTGCACAAAAGACCTCTTTAAATTGTTATAGAGCAAAGGTGTCCTTTTGAGAACTAAGGTGCACCTAACTAAGCAATGGTATTTTCAATCACCTCATATGAATGAGAAAATTGGACAATGAATAAGGAAGACTGTAGAAGAATGGATGCATTTGAACTACGGTGTTGGAGAAGAATATTGAAAGTACTACAGACTGCCAGAAGAACAAATAAATTTGTCTTGGAAGAAGTGTAGCCAGAAGGCTCCTTAAACATCAGAATGGCAAGCCTGTATCTCTTGTAGTTTGAACATGCTATCAGGAGGTGCCAGTCCCTGGAAAAGGACATCGTGCTGGGTAAAGGGGAGGATCAGCCCCATCAGATGGACTGACACGATGATAGCAACAATAGGCTTAAACACAACAGCGAGTGTAAGGAAGGGGTTAGACTTAGCAGTGTTTTGGTCGGTTGTGCATCGAGTCGCTATGAGACTGAATCAACTTGACAGCACCTAATAACAATGCCATTTTATATAAGGGATATGAGCATCCACAGATTTAGGTATCCTGGAAGCAATCCTCTATGGACATGAAGGGGCAACCAGACATGACAAAAAATTTAAATGTGGCCCACTAGCAACACAGTACAATATTTACTATTTGTATTCATCACCATGAACCGACAAGAAAAACTTGAGGTGGATTCAACAGAATGTGTTGAGAAGGGGAGTGAATAATCATGTAAAAGATTGCTATTTACTTAAAAAATGCTTGAGTGCATAAATGATTAACCTTCCACTGAATTTAAAATGAAAAAAATAACAGACTGGAATGAAACAATACTCAAACTAAGTCACTCTTTAAACTAGATGTGACTAGTAGTAATGGAAAAAATTACTCCTTTTGTAATGACTGCATCACAATTAATCTTCTTAAAGAACATATTTCTAAAAACTGTCTAATATGCTGAAATCAAAGAGTCTAGAATTTAAAATCCTACCCAATGGCCTGCATGTGAAACTAAAATCTCTATATTTTACCTTTTCCCCTTAATAATGCAAACAATTCCTTAACAGAATTTTCAGAAGACCATCAGTCTAATTTCAAATAAAATTAATATTAATATTGCCAAATATAAAGAGGACATGACTTAATAATCAGTTGACTTACTTCTCACATTCCGCTGATAGTTTTAGTTCTTTGGTTCGGGAAAGGAAGACCTTAACTAATGCAGCAAAGTTTCCTGTTCGAGGATTGTTTTCAACTGGAAGAGAACAGAAAAGAAAAACTAAGAACTGGAATTGAAGCAAGCCTATCAAAACATTTATAAACCAAATACATAATTCAAGTTGTTTATTGGTCAGCCTCCATATCAATTTCAAATCTAAAAAGGGGCATAAGCCATGAGAGAAACTGCTGTTTGATCTTCATTCGGAGCAACAACAACAAAAAGTGATTCACAACATGGAAATCTGTAGGGGAAAGCACTCACAAGTCATGTCAGAATCTGAAATTGTCAAGATGTAATAGGTTATTGCTGTTGTTGTTAAGTGCCGTTGAGTCAGTTCTAACCCATGGCACTCCTATATAGGGCTTCCGAGGAGCAGCTGGTGAGCTTGAACCTCCGACTTTGCAGTCTGGTGCCACACCAGGACTCCTTCCATGCATTAATCTCATTTAACCCTCAGTGCAATCCTATGAAAGAAACACCATTTAATCAAGGAAAGATCCTGTCTACTGACTCAAATTCTTGGTTCTAAAACACCTCTGCTATACCAATCCCATTATATCAAGGTATTGGGATCAATGAAAGTAGTTCTATCAAGTGTACATCGAATCTCTGGAGAGCAGCACACATTCAAAGCAGCATGGCTGGTACCGTCTTTGAGAGCTGTTTTTTTCCTGTTTGGATCAAATTACCACAGGCAACAGAGTTGATTGTTATGCAGTGCATATTCAGCCCTTGTTTACAATGACAATAACCTCACCATTGTGAACCAGTTCAAATCCCTGATCAGAATCTTCAATTTTACTGATACAGAAAAATAGCGCGGAGAGGCTTGGTTTTAAGCCTAAAGCCAGAAATATTGTAGTGACAAATGCCTAACCTTTTTGTTTTACCAATGGTTTTCAAACTGTGAGATCCAAAAGTTCAGAATATTTGCTTATTTTTCCAAGTACCTTTTGAAAACTGGAAATGTAAACACTCAACAAACTGGAATGCCATGAGCACTTATTTTGTTGCTGAGGTTTGGTGACAATTTGCTTTAGCTTTCTTCTCTAAGCATATACTTAAATGTCTTGAAACCATGTCAAAGATTTTAAGAAGGAAATCGCTCTCAGGCACTTTATTTTTTAATCCAGGTCTATACATAGATTTTTTTTTTTTTTTTTAAGGTTTTTATTGTGGATTGAGTGAAAGTTTACAGGGCAGATAGATCATCAGTTTTGCATTCAACAAATCATCAACCTTATTTCATTACAATGATTATAATCCCCTCCATGTACCATCATTTAACAGCATTACTCTCAATCCACTTTAGCTTTTTAAAACAAAAAACAAAAAAAAACACTCAGGCATATATAATAATTTACATCTCCAAAGGGCACATGCTGCAAGTCTGTCTCCTGGTCACCAGCTCTTACTTAATCCCTCCCTTCCCATAAATCTAAAGTCCACAGCTGCTCCCCTTCTCCATGACCCCATCTCTACCTCCATCTCTGGCATCACTGCCTCTGTGGATAAGGTCCTGCATTCTGCTTGTGAGCTTCTCCCTTGATGGTTCTAGGGTCTTCTGTTTCTGGACTATAAGATTAACCACTCCCTTGTTTTTGTTACAAAACTTCTACCTTTACAAGTGTGACAGTCACAATTAGTCATAACAATTATTCACTACTGAATCATACAAACCTTATCCCCATCTCTTTTCACCAGACCCATCTAGCCAAGATGAAATCTATTCAGTGGGGATTCTTTCTTTCCCCTCATACTCTTAAACTAAGAGTTTGTAAGCCAGTCACTTCATGTCTTTAGTGCCCTCTCATTTTAAGTAGCCAATGTCTAAGTTGCCCATCCATATCGACCCTGTGTACAGAGGAGATAGCATTGATACTTGCTGTGAAGACTCCTTCCCTCTCTGTTGGTATTTAGAATAACTACCTCTCTGCATATAGGTCAGGTTCATCAAATTGTAGCAATTTACCCTTGTTTCCTTTATCAAGAAAAAAAAATTTTTTTGTAATCTTCCTCTAGTCAAGTTCTGATTATGGAGCCATCAAGGCTAGGTCAAATGGGTACTGTCTGCAAGTTTGGGTGTTCTTGTGCATCTCCCCTCACTTCATATCAGCTGGATGCTTCATTCTCAGCTCTAGCCCTCTGTGGCTATGTCCTTGTCCATGGGCTCAAGGATTCTCAGGTCTCACCACACTTTGGACCAACCAGCCCTTCCTCTTCACTCTCTCATCTCCAGGTCAACGGGAGTCAATGGACTGTGGTTGAACTCAGCCCATTTCTTCATTGCTGCCTTTCCCCCTCTTCCACTCACCAGTAGACCAATGTGGTCGCCAGCAAGCTTACATGCCTGTTCATGTGTTTACTTTGAGTATCAGTCTTAGAGGGGAGTTTGTCCTGAAGGAACTTGATTGCTTCCTTGATGTCTTCCTGGAGAACAGCTTGCTTATTCTTGTAGTAGCCAGTCATGCTGACATTTTTGTTTTGGGTTTTTCCTGATGATCTTTCTTTGAAGATGTATCTTCTGTCACTGTAGCTATTCCAGTCTGCTTGTCCTTTTTAGTGGGAATGTCCCACCTCATAAGGTTCTGGATGGGACTCAGAATTCCACCTAAAGACCTATATACTCTGTAAAGGCTTTGTAAGAGGCCTATTTCACTGGGTTAGTTGTAGAATCCCTTTTAGGTATTCCAATCAGTTATAGGCTAAAGACAGGCTTACAAGTTTTCTCTAATGATGTTTCCCAACATTCCTTTCTATCCCACTCAAGTGTCTACTTTACAATGGTAGGCAAACAAAACTAATATTCATAAGACAGTCAAGCATTTTCTTTCAGGGTTTTATACATGTCTCCCCATTTTTTTTCTTGCCTGCATGGTTTCTTTGAGAAATCCAAGCTTAATTTGATTTGCTTGCCTTAGTATGTTACACTTCTCTTTTCCCTAGCTGCTTTCAGGATTCTGTCCTTATCTTTGATTTTGGAGAGCTTGACTATGACATATCTTGGTGATTGTCTTATACGGTCTATCCTTCCTGGGATTCGTTGAGCTTCTTGAATGCTTATCTTTTTGCTTTTCAGGATGTTAGGAAATTTTTCTTCCAGAAGCTCTTCAACTATCTCCTCTGTGGTCTTGACTCTTATTGTTCAGGAATGCCAATAATTCTTCAGTTATTCTTCTTCATGTTGTCCAACATGAATCTTAGGCCTTCTTCAGATTTTTTTTTATCTTTTGTGTTTGATCTTCCATCTTAGTAGTGTTGAGAGATTTATCTTCTAGCTCAGTAGTTCTGGCATCTATTACTTCAGTTATACTACTTTGCCTTTTCACTGTATTGTCAATTTCTGATATTCTATTATTAATCGTTTGGATCTCTTTTTGAGGTTTTGAATTGTATCCAATGCTGCATCTATCATATTTGATTGTTCCTGTAGCACTTTCCTGACTTCCTCCTTATTTCTCTCAACTCCATTGTACAATGTCTCAATACATTTTATAATCACTTTTCTAAATTCCTTCTCAGGCATTTCCAAAGCCTGCCCATCTTCCAGTATGGAGTGTAGGTCTACTTCCAACTCATTTGCCTCAGTCACTTTATCTTGTTTCTGGATATATGCTGATATGGTCATCTGTTCCTGCTTTTTAGGTATATTCAGGAGTTATCTGTGGCCTTAATACTTAGATGGGTGTGTATTCTGGTATTTTTTTATGCTTTCTGATTGCCTCCAGGTAGATGTGATCAGGAGATGGGCTTCCATGTTCATGCTTCTTCACAAGAAATCTCAACATGTCACTGTTGGTCGCTGTAACGTAACTCAGGATTTAATTTTCAGCCTATTTCCTTTTTAATCTGTCTGTCCTATTCCACAATCCCTGTTCAGCCCTTTTTCCTACTGATAAACAGTTCAGGGCCAGCTGTGGCCATTTGGTTTTAAGTGGAAAATGTCACTTTAAATTTTGAGATCTGTGTGCACGCAATATAGAACCCTCCAGGGGTGGGGGGTGGGATATCCACTCACTCAGGCACCCCCTCTAATCACCAGAATCGAGGTGTGCAGACAGCGACACACCAATGAACAGATACCCCAAAAAAAGAACGTCCACATATTTATCTCCATGGTTCTGCCAGGCGTCTGTGGCTCTGATCCTTCCCCAACTTGGTTTCGCCCAAGATGGCAGCACTGGGAGCAGCTGAGCATCTTGAATTAGAAAGCAATGGATTTCTTTTTTCTGTTACAAATTCCCCTAGCTGTAAGCCTTAAACCTTCTAAATATTCCTTTATATGTGGTTCAGAGCTCTGGCACCATCCCCTGAGCCTGCTTGGTCTGGTATTCTGTGTTGTTGCTGATGGAGCTCTTCACTGCACTTCCACCCAATCCACCATCTTGTTTGTTCTCTATACATAGATATTTTAGAAGAACCACTTTACATGGGACTAAGTCCATCTTTCAGGAGGTACTCACTCATCTCTGCCAAGAAATTTGGAAGACAACTATATGGCCGACTGATTAGAAGAGATCTGTATTTGTGCCCATTCCAAAGAGAGGTGACCCAAC